CCATTTTTCCGGTATATTTAAAAGCCAGACGAAGGCTGGCAGCGAAGCTGCTAGGATGGCATAATTCCTTACTTGTTCAGAATCTGACAGAATTTCTGAAGAATATGGTTTCGGATATTAGGATGTTGTTGTCTAAGACCTCATATAGTCTTCGAATCACACTCCTTGCGGAAAAAGGATAAAGAACAGTGATTCTTTTAGAAAAACATTTAATCCTTTATTCAGTTCCTTATGAATAAACATCGTCTCGGAATATATACTTAGCTAACTAAATCCGTTAAGTTCTGTTAACTTTAAATAATAATAATAAATACATAGTAAAGAAAGAGAGACCTGCTTCCTTTTTTAGGCTTCAAAATAGTGGGCTTCCTTTTTTAGGCTTCAGAATAGTGGGAAAAATGGCGTGAAAATAAAAGTGGATTCCGTTGAAAAAATAAGATACCTATGTTCAAAAATTTAACTTTACAGATAAAAACAAAAACAAAATCGCTAATGAAAAATACTTCAGAAGCGTATCAAGTAAGTCATCCACCGACTATAGGTGGTTGTTGTTTTTATTTAAGTATAGGTACATACAAGTAATCGAATGCATTCATTTAGTATACTGTGAATTGTATTAGTTTATACTTTTTTTTTTTTTTTTTTTTTTTGCATTTCCTTTTAAAAACAAAATTTTTTGAGCAAAATGCAGAAAAATAATTTTTGAAGCTCAACTACACACTCAGTGCATATGTATACAGTTCTTTTTCCCATTATATTATTTTTCTTTTCATTGATTGGCCTTTCATCTTCAAAGAATATCGGCTAAATTCTGGCTCATACCCTCCTAAACGTTATAATCGGGTCAGAAATGAAAGTTTATTATTTAAATTACAGTATCCAAAGTTACTGGAAAGATCTATCACTCACATTTATCAGATCATGTCACTCACCAGGTGGCGAGCAAATAAAACCGCCGCTCTAGTTCGAATCCTGGAGAAGGATTTGCCTACATGCGCATTTTGGTACAGAAAATCCCCCCACGAAGGTATATCTCTCATTAAGTGCATTTCCTCGCAGTGTTCTTCAATGAACGGGGAAATTCAAAAATATAAATTAAGCGCATTTTGCCGTAATCTAATAAATCAAATCGTACTGAGCATCTAAGAAGATCTTTGATCAAATACGTCGTGTGAAAAAGTAACTCTGGATTATTTAGACGTATTGGAAACATTGCCTGAATTGACTAGCAGCATGTTCAGCATGCCAAGTGGTACTTCATTTTGTACCCATCGACGATCTTTATGATCGTTTAAAAGCAGTTCTGAACCATCTCTAACGACCTAAAAGCTTCAACCATAGTAAGTTTCCGTTGTTTCAACTACTATCGAAGAATACGTTATACGGACCGTTGCCAAATGTAAGCATCACAAATACAGCAGCTTTCGAACACGTGCCTCTAAAGTGCAATTCAAAATCACGCTTGAGATGTGTTTCGGTAACCTCCTCTGACAAAATATCAAGCTTATCCGGCGAAATGTCAACAGGGATTTAAAATCTTTAATTTCTCTTTCATCACTCGCTTTCATTTTTCCATCACCTTTTGCACAGTTGGAAAAAAAAAAAAAAAAAGTAATGGAACCTGTACATAATTTCCTCATAAACAAATGAAAAATGTAGAGGAAAGTAACAACACAATATTTGACTGCCATAACAGAGGCTTTAAAAACGGTGTTGCGGGCAAATGAACGCTTCGTTGATTAAAGCCAATTACTCTTGCGTTCTCTCGAAGCGGTGAATTAGACTAAATATTTTATCAATAATTAGGTTACGGGGTGAAATTATAATGGGTTTATCTCCGATTTTAAATGTTTGCATGTTGTTGAGTTACTTTTTAAATAAATAGTATTTGAAGAATGTTTGCAATACTTCGTTGTTAACGCATTATCTGAGAGATAACATGACTTTCAAGAAAAATTTAATAGCTATAAAAAAAGCAGAGGTTTATTTATTTACGTATTATTATATTTATTCATATTTTTTCATGTTAAGACGTGCAATACTATTACTTTCCACACAGCATAATTAATTATATTTTTGATATTAAGTAAAAGCGTGGAAATGTTGTCTTACTGATAAACAGCGAGAAAAATTTATTTGTTAATGTGGTTTGGAAGAACTGATTGTGGCTGAAGAGGGATGAGGTGTTTTCTTTACCGGAAGGATGGCTTCGTGGAAAAAAATTTAAAGGAAACTGATCTGTGTTCACTTTATACTTCGGGAGAATCGCGAAAACTCCCATGCAGCCAGACGTTCATTAGAATTTAAGCCCTGGTTTAAATACTAGTACTCAAAGTTCCAACATCTCTGCCACTCGGTTCTAACATTTTTAGAGACTTCCGTTAGAGAAGAGCAAGCTATGAAGTGTTCATTAAATATTATTTTAGTTCACATATCATATTAAAAAATGGGTTATTTTCATTGATTATATTATTAAACCAATATTTGATGACTTTTCGAAAGATGGATTTCTTTTTCAAGTCTTGCTGTTTCTACTAGAACTTCTTGTTTGCAACAATTCATATGATCATGGATCTTCACTTTTGTAAGTAGTTTACGATCTCACGGCCTTTACTACCATATTACTATCTTAGGTAAACATAAGTAATGGCATCTTAACATCCAAATAATGAAAGACCTGCACACTGCATGCTAAAACTTTTACTCACAATTAAAGCTGAACTGTTGCATTTCTTAAAGAAATTATATAGCAATATTCAATAGCATTTTCAGTTGAAGATATTGCAGTTACACGTAAGATATAACACAGTATAATAAAATGAGAAAATATAATATTTACAAGCAAATTTAAGGTTCACATAGGTGCGAACCTTATTTCTAATTCCTATTTGTGTTGGTTAAGTCAATTCGCTGTCGTCTTATTCAAATTGAAAATAACATTGTAACATAATATCTTTACCTGCTCCATCAAGTGAAAGTAAAGTCCAAAAAACCTGCTTTATTAGGTAGATAATAAGTAAAAGTAAATAAGTAAATATGTACAGGAAAAAAAATGGTACGCATGTGAATTTAGATCACTTCAAATATAAGGAAATCATGCGCCAAGGAAATGTTTTACAGAAAGATATATATATATGCCGACATTGCGTTTAATTGTATATGTTGATCTTGTAATAGAGATCTTGTTTTTAAAGTAAGTGTGAGATGAAAATACTGCATTCAGCTGACGAAATTTGCTCAGACACGAAAGAGTTCGAACCAGAGTATTCTATAACGTAGGCTTATTTGGATCTCCGGTTCGAACTGCGATTTCAAGCTCTAGTAAGTTCAGACTGAATTTAAAGCGCGATCACATCTATCGAAAATCTGAAGTTAAATTCCGCAAATATTGAAGGTTTCACCGACTGTTTAAATAACGTAATGCAATTAATTTTCAATTAGTAAGAAGTAAAAATATATTTTACTCGCAAATTCTTAGCATAAGTGGGAATTGCAGAATCTGAGAAAAACTTAAATGCTTTATTTCTAATCGGACTCTTCTTCAAAAATCTAAATGTTTCTTGATCACATTTTCCCTCAAACGTCTAAATGTTTTTCGAAATCAGACTCTTTTTCCAGAGACTGCAATTTTTTTTCCTTTCTGCCCTTTAAAAAATCGTGTATACACGAGTTTGCTTTTAGATGTTGAATAGATAATATTTTATGAAATATTGTAACATATTTAAAAGCACTGAATAAGTATAAGTATTTTAAATTATTATTATTATTATTATTATTATTATTATTATTTTTTTTTTTTTTTTTAAGTAAAGAATAACTAAAAAGAAAACTCTACAAAAACTATAGATAATATGAAAATCATGCTTCGTTAATCGAAGTAAAATGTACTTCCAATTTTTCCCGCTCCTTTTTATTCTATTTTTATTTCTACTTCTTTTATTTAATTTATTTTCGAAAAAATGTATAAAATTTTAAAAGGAATTCGAGTATAGTCCAATATCTACTAAAAAGACAAAGTGCAAACAAAATCAGTGAGCACTACCACTGATTAACGGTGAAAGAGGGAAGGAGAATAAATAAATAATAACTCAGAAACGATGCTTTAGAAAATAGGAAACACAAAGATTGCTCAAAAATTAATAAAATTAATCCTGTCTTTAGTTGAGTAAATTACAAATAAATTTTAAATATTTCTGAAATTAATGAAACGTAAATTTCGTGAAAAAAATCTACTGATGCTGTACTGAGATCCTGTATTTTATGATTTCTCATATTGATTTACTATTATTAATCTGATACACAACTACATTTTGAATACACAATAATTTTGTTGATGAGCTAATTTTTCAAAGCACCATGCAGACAGAAAATTAATTATCACGGTAGAAAAGACACTGCAAACTGAAAATACTTGTTCTTTTGATTAATAGCTTTTATTAGTTATTAATGACAGCACGTCGCAACTTACATGCTTTAGATTTAAAATATGTTTAAAACTTCTTCCCACCCCCCGTTTTTTTTTTTTTACTTTCTGTACGACTTCAAATAAATACAGCGAACAATTTAGATTTCGGCGGATTGGGGGCGATTTAGAAATTCTACACAATATTATTTTTCTCTGTACGAATACGAAATCTATATGTTTACCATATACATATAATTTTACTCGTGAATTTAGCTGTGTGTTTTTTAATATAATTTGTGCAGAACCAGTAAAGAATTATCAAGAAATTTGATTTTGCATTTTTACTACAGTTGAAGTTTTCTTTTAATTTTGATAATAAATAGCACTCTATTATTTTTCATATTCTCAGAAACATTTTATTTTACAAATTAACCTCACTCACTCAATAATGAAATAAATGGGTAATTATATAAATTTTAAAAATTAGTAACTTACAACTTTAAAATTTTTTTAAAGAATAAATGCTCTTGTTTGGAAACATTAAGGCAAATGATTAATATGACGGTACTTTCTATATAGATTATAGAAAACTTACCCGAGCCTTTTTTCTGAAATATCCAGCTTTACCGTCATCTGCATTTGTATTTACATTCGCAGCTTGGACGTTAGTTTTTTCACTCATCTTTTTAAAATATTCACATTCGAAGACCAAAGTGTTCGATTTCAATGTTTAGCATACAACCATTGTTATAAAAAAGTTGCTCACTATATGTGATTCTCGATAAACTGCATGCAAACTGATGCACTGATTTTTAACGCAACTTTTCACCGGCTGAACAGCAGGTGTCGTACTTGCGCTGTCAAATAGTAAACAATGCCAGGTAACTATGGTAGCTTCACGTTGCCGTCGGACAGCGCCTCCAGCGATTTAAGGTTAATGGATTGCAGGTAGCAATAAGCAAAAGGTTACTACATTTGGCTATTATTCGCTTATGGATTTCGAGAGCAACTTTTAAAATTGCACTTAATTTTACTTAAGGATTTTTGCTTGAATCTACTTCTTTGATTTCCACAGGAAGTAGGCTACTTTTTAAGAAGAAATCAGTTTGTGCTCAGTCTATTAGCATAATCTGTAATTTGAATTTTTGATTTCTCTCTTTTGAAACATTTTTCTTACATGATGCTTTTTGAACTTAAAAACAGTTCTACAAAATTACTAATTAGAAGTTTCTTTAAAATTTTCGCGTTGTCACAATGTCTCATAAATTTTCGAAATTAAAATACATATTCATCTCACACCATTTAAAGTTGTTATTTCTAGTTTTTAAATTCTTTAAAAAAATTATCCTCGAGAATGTTGTTATAAATGTTACTATTTATATGTTGATTAAACTCTCAACAACTTAATATATGCCATCAACGTTAACCCTAACTCATTTTTAGTCCAAAGGGAAAATTTGCCCTGAAGCACTATTAATTTCGTTTTGGCATTTTGCTTTGAAAACTAAAAGGCTGGGTCACTTTTCAAATCGTTGCCACCATACATTAACGCCCTGTCTTATATTTAAAGAAATTAAACAATGAAGAATCTGCATAAATATATGTATGTTTCTCGCATTGTGATAAAACAACGGTACCTAGAACCATCAAAATTTGAATAACGTAATCTTCCATAGAATATGGGTATGCGGAATCCCTAATTTGAATTTGGAATTTGTTTTATTATCGATTTCAGACTTTGTAACGAATTTCATATTAAAAAATTAAACAGTTTCAAAGTAAGTAATAATGCAACACCGTAAAAAAAAAAAAAAAAAAAAAAAAAAAATTATCTCCAGCGCGCGAGACTGTATCGGAAATTCTAAAGATATGCTCATTTTAAAATTAATTTGCAATATTGCTGCTGAAATGAATTTTATAGTTTGAGTACGTAAAACAGGATATTTAATAAATAAAGGTAACACACAAAACGTTAAAAAATTCCCCTTTGGACGTAAATTAAAATCTGAAACCTTTCAGATTTTTTTGTCTTTTTTTCCTTCATTTTTTTTAATTATCATATTTATTTCATTTTTAGTTATTTCTTATGAATAATTTTCAGATAAGAAATTTATTTGTTTTCTGTATTTAAAATTTGTTATTAATGATCTTAATTTCAGCTCATTTTTAAAAGTAGTTCAGGAATAAAAGTAAAAGAATAAAAAGTAAGCATTGTGAGTTTCTGAATCATTGCGTAAAAGGGTCAATTACCTGCGAATGATATGCATCCATGTCTTCCTTTCCTTTAATAGATTTCAGTAGCACCTCTCCATCTTTGCTTTTCAATTGTATTTAGTTGTTTTCCTTTTCGCTTTCATTCACTTGCTTTGAGAAAGTTTGCATTAGAAATCTGTTAAATGTATCGCAAAAGTGTCCAGTGCCAAAATATGGATGCAGTCATTAATTTATACGTATATTTGTTTTTTTTCCTTTTTCAGGGCATATTTCGTTTCCTTAAATCGGCATTTATTTATTTATTTGTATATTGCGAATTTGCATCTCCTTAATTAAGTGGTAATAAGAAAATTGTTACAGTGGAATTAGGATTTTTGTCTGTTTCTAAACATTTTTTCAGTCTTTCCTAGAAGCTTTTGTAACAATATGAAACAAACTTTAAAAGAACGTAATTAAATGCAATACTGTTATTTTTCAGTGTAAATATTTACGTATGATGTAATAGTATATCACTGAGTCATAATTGTGAGTGTTAATAATAATTTTTATATCGAAAATATTAAAACCTTTATAAATAAGAATAAATTTTGTCATGAAACGAAGATAATGAGAGCAATGGAAACGGATAAGTAAATCAATGTGTTAGCAAAAAATTATTGATATATTTTAAGTTTAAATTTTAATTAAACAAAAATATTTTACGACATTTATTTATAAATCCTCCTGCGTGTGAAATTACTCTTTACTTGTTAGCGACAACAAACTTCTAATCTCAAATGGCCCACAAATTGCTCAGGCTCAGCGACCTAAGCTGCAAAATACTGGTAGTTTTCTACTAAGTTATTTCTTAGATTAAATTATATTAGCCATTTATGGCAACGCTCTCTGTCGAAGGGGAGCCTGCCTTAGCGCAGGACTCTCTGAAGAAAATGTCTGGAAAGGAAGGATTCGTATTCATGCTATGCGGGAGGACAATCACGAAAACAGACATTCTGCAAACCCTTTTACTAGAATTTGAAACCGGGTTGAACTACCAGTGTCGAATTGTATTACCCACTTGGCTCTTGGCTACCGATGGGCTGGTTACTTGTCAGACTGGTTTATAAATTCTTTTGAGTATTTATCTATAAGCAACGTGAGTCAGTTTACATTAAAAAAAAGGGGTTCAACGAGATCACTGAACATGGTCATTGAGAATTGAAAGAGATCTGTGAATTTTATGAATTATTATTTTTATCAGAGTATCGTTTTAATCTTTCAAAATAAATTTTACTCACAAAATGTAACGTAAGACTGCTGTCTGAAACTGTTTTGCATGATATTGTTGGGTAATATTGTTGGGTTTAATTTATTACGGGTTCGTAATAAATTAAATGCACACACGTTCAGATTGACAAAATTTATTTTATCAAAGAAAACAAATCACAGTTCTAGAACTTTACACACACACACACACACACCAAAAAAAAAAAAAAAAAAAAAAAAAAAAAAAAAAAAAAAAATGTCGTACAACTCTTCACAGAATCACAGAGTACAATCTGTAGTTACACTTCAAACAATTGTGAATGACAAACACAACGCAACTCAAAGCTCAGCTTACGAGAAAACTACCCGGAGATCTCTCACTACGAACTCACGCCGAGCTAACAGCTGAGAACAGATGCTCTTTCTAGCTTTCCGCAGAGATATTTCTCGTACTTTCTGCTTCTAGAAATTTTTGGAAGGCAATATTAGAGTCGAATTACGATTACAACTAGTATAATAATTAATTACATTTTTTCAATTACAATACCTATTACTGTAGTACAGCGACCGGACCAAAATATCATTAAATGATCGCCAACTTTGGAGACTTTTGGCGATTTCTCCATGAATTTTGTCACAAAAATTAGTTTCCAAAATCGTTGCCACCTTGCGATATCGCGCCAAATTAACAAGATAGCCATTCACTCAATGTTAAATAGACTTGTCCATAGCATCGTCTGTCTAGATTTTCATGTTACATTATTCAGAAAAATAATTAATTTCTCAATATCAATCATCTATCTGTGTACAAAATTCGCAACAATATTTTCCTCCTTCACTAAGAATGCTTCATAAAACAAGGCCTAATTGCTGATTATTTATAGGTCAGATCAGACCATTTGAACACGGAGGAGCATACAATAATTATCTACTTAAGGAGAGGGATGCTTTCTTGAAAGGCTTTCCAATGGAAACTGAATCGTATACACTTGTGGAAAACCATGAACGTCAATTATGCAGTCGGTCCGTTCGCTTAGAAATCAACCCCAGAATTTAGTCTTAATCACTCGGCCACTGAGTCTTAATGATGCTCCTAGAAATAGAGATCAAATATAATGACTGTTCTCAAATTTTTATCCATTTTCCCGGTCACGTCTAAAGTTTCCATAAAGGCACTTATAAGATTTATAATAATGATAAGATTTCTTCAAAGGACTGGATTAAGAAATTTTTATAATGAGCTTCCAGACTGAAAAAAAGTACGTTTTAATCTATTGAAAAATGCCACCTGTAGTAAAAATACTTTAAATGGGATCTTTACTGTTATTTGACAATACTTTTCGTAAGATAATTTTAGCTCTTTCCTATGCTGTAAGGAAATTTGTAACTACGTCTTTTAGAAATTAATATTTTAAATCCGAACTAATCGAAAATTTCAAACAAGCAATTTTCTCTTACAATTTTTATGCTTTTTATTGGTGTAAATAAGTAAAAAATAGTAAAATATTTAAAAACGAATTTTTGAAAGTTTTTTTTTTTAAATTCTAAATTGTGCTGCTTTTTTAAAATTATAGATGAATATTATAGCACAATTTCTATAAAGGAATTTTATTTCAATTATATTTCATAATACATCATAGCGGTAAACACTTTTGACTCCTTAATAATTTTTATAATATTAAAATTGTATTTAATTCTAATATTAAAATTTTATTTAACCGCAATAATTTATTTTGCTTCTATTTTATAGTGGTTATTTTTTAATTTATTTTTAGCTCTGCATAAGATTTTTTTTTTATTTACTGTTAATTTATTAGCTCGAAGCGGCATTTTGCGCTGTTTCACTATAAACTTCCGTGTCTCCTTGCAAATTGTTGTTACCAAATACTATCGCCCTGTATTATATTTAAAGAAATTAAATAATGAAGAATCTGCATGAATACATGTATGTTTCTCGCACTGTGAGAAAAACGACGGTATCTAGAGCCATCAAATTTTGAATAATGTAACCCTCCACCCGAACATGGGCATATGGACGGCCGGATTTCGAATTTTTTTTAATCTATTTCATATTTTGTAAAACTTTAACGAATTTTTGATTAACAAACTCAACGAGTTCAAAGCGAGCAATCGTAACACTCTACGGAAAATAAGATTTTTATTTCCAGTGCGGAAATTCTAAACATATGCTGTTTTCAAATGCATGTGGTTTACGGGCGAAGAACATGATATTCAATAAATATAGGTAACACACAAAACGTTAAAAAAAGGTTCCTTTTGGTTATTCCTTTGGGCGTAATATAAAATCTGAGTGTTTCTAGATTTTATTTATTTTTTTTTTCCTTCATTACACTCAGAAAATTTTATGCTCCGAATTTTATAAATTACTAAACTAAATAATCCACTTT